TAGCCTTTCTGATGGAGGTACAGACAAGCAGACACATGCCTTTTAAAATCAATATTAGTTTTTAAAACTTGTAAATATTACAGTAGACAGAAATTGATTTGAGTTGGAGAGAGTGAAAGGCAGTGTTAACCTTTGTTATGAGATATATGTACTAAAAAGGATACAGGTATCCAGTGCTTTATTGGGCTGGATCCACTTCTCAATTTCAGTTCTAAATGCAAGTAAATAAATGTTCTTGAACTTGTGGAGTGTATCCCTTGTACATGCCCCCATGCAAGTTGTGCTGCTGTTTTGGTGATGTACATTTTGGATTCACTGTCAGTGCCAAACAAGAAATTTACCCTGTATCTTGAGCAATTGTCTTTATCCCCGTTATCACATGCACATATGAAACTTGTTATTATAGCATCTTGGGTTTTGGCTTTGAAGCACCATCAAAAGTAAGTTATCATTACAGTCACATAAAAAGGATGCATGGGCTTTCTCAGGAGTGTAGGACAATTCAGCTCCCAGAGATACCACTTTTTCCATCAAAGCATATGCTTCAATGTGCTTATATAAAAATACTTGCACAGAGCAGGTATACCCTGTTATATTTTGGCATTAGCTGCAGTAGATTGATAATTGATTAAGGATATCTCTCTTTTTCTGCCCCTTGGTTGCAATTCTACTTGTCAAGGGCTTGTAAAATTAAGTGGCCCAAGTAAAGTAACGGGTAATGGTTTTTGGTTTTTTTTTCCTCACGTACACACTTTGCCAACACAGATCTATGAATCCAAATTATGGAGAGTATGCTGCTGGTAGTCTTCACCATGAGGCTAAGTGAGCATAGAACATAAACTGTGCTCCCTTTTTAGTTAGCTTTTCCAAAACAGACCTGTGACAGCAGCAGGCAATTAATAGTGCATTAAAAGAACATTTACCTGTGGGACTGCAAATTGTTTGGCTTCCTGCCCTGCATCCCCTCTTCTGTGTTTTAAGAATGTTGGCCAAGTCTCTTTTGCAGTAAAGCCTTTGGAAAGCAGCAATTTTTATTTATTTTTTAAATCTGTAAAACCACCTATGGTAAATAAATTCTAAAAAGAAACGTCTAGCTTTCTAGGCACTTACTTGTACCCCCCCCGGTATTCAGCTTGGTGCCTTCAGACCTGCCTTGTTTCTCTGAGCAATCTGATACTCTGAAATGTGCTGTACAGCTCAGCAGAAAAAGGAATTTGCTTTGTCTAAGTCATTTAATAGCTTTTAAATCCCAGTGGATTACAAATTTGCAGGGTACTATGTGCTGGCTGTATCTTGATCTCCTGGACTTAAACGTACTTTGAATTGTTTCTTAATAACTATGAATAGAACTGTTAGTTAAAGCCAAAGCAGTGAGAACAAGTGGTATCACAATAAGAATAGAAGGACGAGGGTTAAATAAAATGTGAATTATGGAAACTGTTAAAATTCACAAGTTAAGTTTTGCAGTAGCTTTAATGGAGTCACTTATGGATTGCATCACTGAAACATTTCCGTAAGTAGCATTCCTGTAACCATGTTTAGTCCTAGGAAAATAAGCCAGTTTGGAAGGTATCAGGCTATGAAGCCACATGCTGAGAGTCTGCTGTAAAGTACTGCAGTGACACTTTCCATGAGGCACAAGGCAACTGTCATAAGGGGATAGCACCATTTCATGACCTGGTGCACTGGTAAAACAGAAAGCTCTCAGAAACTGTAGATTAGATAAAAGATCTAAATCTCTTATTCTAGATATAGAAGATAATCTAAACTATCTGGATGCAGATAGTCTAAATAAAGAATCCATGCATGGTAGAGTGCTTCAGCAGAACTTGTTATCTCATGAATGGAGGCTTTGTAGGTAATTCCAAGTTTATCCTTCAGAATGCTACAATGTCAATGACAAACCCCAGTACTGCTGGAAAGAATCTTAAATAACCTACAGATGTAAAAAGGCAGCCTATAACACCCAGTGACTGTCATCAAACTTTTTATTGAAAACAGCTTGACTCAGCAGTAGTAGCATCTTTTCCTTTTTATATCATAGCAACATTGGCTGCTTAGTGTCTTCATAAAGTGAACAAGATTGAGAAGAGAGTTTGTCTCTCAGCAAATTCAGTGCTGTAAAAATGTCTGCTTTCACGAGAAACTATTTAAATTATTTGAAAACTTTCTGATCTTTGGATAAAACTTATGGTTTTTGTCTATCAGTACAGCATCCAGTAAGTTGAATCAGCTGTTGCAGAGGCAAAGTAGAGGACCACAGTAAGATTAGAGGTGGACAAAATTCCAATTTGCTTTTATGTTTTTGTTTTGTTTGTTTTTTTCATATGCATATATAAGCTAAGAAGTGCCAGGTTCCATTTCTTCTTAAGAAAATAAGTGAGAAGTAGCTTTCTTCACAGTAGGAATCAGATTTATATTTTAAGGCTGCTCCAGTGGTAGGGTTGTTTCCATTAAACTCTTAATTAAATGAAAAATGGGGAAAACTCATTTACTTGAGTGGTACAGGGTCAGAACATTCACTGTAAATGTCTAAAAGAAGAGATGTAAATGGCTGAAGTTTTTCTCCAGATTCCTCTTTTAGTGTGTTGTGCTTGGAACAATTCTACAAACTGCAATAGTATCTGAAGATAAGCACATGTCCATCACTTAAGCTTAATTCATGAAAGGCTCATTCATTTACGGATTCAGCTTTCTAATATTTATTGCCAAATTGCCATGCAAGGTTCCTGTGCATTTACCCTTGAGTGCTTTCAGCTGTTTTTTCTGTATTACCATAATATAGTTTCTTCCAAGGATGCTTGTTATAATTTTTAGTATTTGCAAATGACTTAATGTAGTGCTAAGCCTTTTAAGATACTTATCACTAGGATGAAATACTGCTTGAGGCAGACAAATTAGTCTTATAAACTAGAGCCTAACCTTGTAATGATCCAAACCAAATACCAGCCTAAGACTCCATCATGTTGAGCCCTGAGGATAGAGGTGCCTAGTATCTCTGTTGTGATGCTTGATATACTCTGGTTTCAGTTCTCCCATGAGCACAATAAAGCTAGTTACCTTAAAATGAGGAAAGTTTTACCTTCCTGAATGACTGCTTTTCAGACTAACATCCCTTTATTAATATAGATGTTTTACAGAGATGCTTCAGCTTCAGCCATGCTTATCTACATCTGCACACAGGATGACTTTCTTATGCCTCTACCTGCAACTCATCCTCTGCAGGTCAAAAGGACCCCTGCCCAGAACCACTTCCAATACTGTCTTCTCTCTGACCTTTTTTTCTGGGTATCCTGAGTTGGGGATTTCACTGCACAACTTCCCCATATCCACAGCACTTCTTGCTTCTTCCTTTCAATTGGAAAGGAGAAGCCACCAAAACTAAAGTTTAGCAAGCTGCTCCTTGTCACGGCTGCTCCTTGTAGGAACTCTGAGAAAAGAGTCCAGCAAGCTGCACATAAGTTCTTCACATAAATTGAGTCAAACCCAACAACAATCAAAATGTTATTCTTTAACAGAAAGTTGCATTTTTAAGAATAAGCCATTTTTGACAATTGAATCCATATCGTCTTAAGATGTGAAATCTGTCTAGAATTTACAAGATTCATTTCCATGGAAAGTTTTTGCCTTCATCTTTTGCCTTTCTTATTCTGTTTCTGAGAGATCAGAAATAAAATAGTCTAAAAAAACAGACAAGAAAAAAGAAGGGCAAAGGAAGTTTCATATTGACAATGAGGATTTAGGATATATTTTATTTTTAAAACTACTTACATTAAATGTTTTTAAAACTATGGCAATTTGAAACAGCAAAAAAAGGGGAATTCCAAATATCTGACAATTTTAAGTGGCTGAAGTCTAACTTAACAAAATGTATGGCCTTGTTATATACCTAGAGTTAAATACCTGGTGAAATACCTAGTAAATACAAACTTGCTTCATATATCTTAACAGACGAGGAAAATTTTTTGGAAGACTGAGAATTTATGGATATTTGAAAACAGACTAATTTTAACTGCTAAATTTTATAGTCACCCATGTTTTGACTTCATTCATACAAAAGATAGTGTATACGACCTCTGGAGATCAATGGAGTTGGTTCTGCTTTTCATCTCTGCAAGTAAAAGCACACTTGGTTATTCTCCACAGAGACAGAAATGCTCATGTTTGCTTTTGTGGCTGTTCTTGCCCTGCAAACTTAAGTATCTGCATTTGTGTGTTTCATGAGGTTGTGGTAGTTTTCTAAAAATTGTAGAATACAGTTTAAAAATAAAACCCTTGGTAAGGCAGGCCATATCTGCAGGGTTTGAATGTGAAACTGCTGTGCTTGAATTATTGTAAACTTTCAAAATCCATTCTAATGGTCCATGTTTGCAAAAGGCATTTTGTTTCTCACTGTAGTTACAAGTAGGAGGAGATGCAATTTTACTGGTATCCTTGCTGTATAAAGTCTCTCTTCAGTTACTTCACCCTGAAGAGTGTTCTCACAACTTCCTGCCTGTGAGAAATGCATGTTGTCCCGGGCATAGATGATCTGTGGAAGAACTGTTTATCATGGCATGAATTCAGGTAGTGGAAGTTTTTTGCTTCTGTGCTTGGTATTGTGTACATTTTACTGTCACACAGCTTCCTTTGTACTTTATCAATCTTTCTTTTCAGGAAGAATGTGTAACAGGGAAGTCCCAACATAAAATTATGAAATATTAAGTGTAGTAATAACTATTAGACAAATTTTGCCTTTATATGTAGATTTTTTGGGGGGGGAATACGTTTACTAGCAGAATCTAGCACAATATTGCTTCTAATCAACCAATACTTTGCTTCTTCATGAACATCTGGGATAAGAATTTTGAATTGAGTGACATGTATAAAATGAATGGGAGTTGGACATCCAAATTTCTACAACAGTAGTGAAAATCTCAGGCAGTGTTTACTCAGATGGCTTAGCAGTTGTTTTGGAAAATGCTTTGTTAATAACTCATTTTTTAAAATTACTGTTACAGACGTTTACAGCCTGGTGCAATTCCCACCTCAGGAAAGCAGGCACACAGATTGAAAACATTGAAGAGGACTTCAGAAATGGCCTCAAACTGATGCTCCTCTTGGAAGTTATCTCAGGTTGGCTAAAATAAAGTTTGCTATGTATTTACAGCATGCTAACTGAAACACTATTAAAAGAACAAAAATTGTTAACAATTCACAACAGTGAACACAAACTCTTAAGTAGGCTGAAAAGTGAGAGATGAAACACACTGTAAAACAAAAGGGAGGGAAAAAAACCTCTGCTTTTTCCTTGTCTCCAAAATCTTCTGTTTTGTGTTTGTGTTCCAGGATATTACAGTGTATCAGGGTAGCACTGACATCACAACGTTGTTGGACAAACCACAAGCGTTGAGGACCAGCTCGTAACCCCTAACAATTATCCCTTTCCATTTAGGTTACAAATTAATTTTATTCCACTTTCAGTATAAACATTTTGCTTTGCTTTTAATGACTTTATCAGAATAGATCAATGCTTTTCAAAGTGAATGCCTAAAGTAAAACTAGATCAAGTCACAAGTAAAAAAAAAAACAACAAAAAAAAAACCAAAACACCAAAACCAGTTTAGTCGCAATTAAAAGATCTCATTTTTCAGAAGGGTGGAACATCCAAGAACTTTCACTAACTGATGCAAACCCACTATGTCACTTATTTTATGTATTATTCAGAGGGGCAGTCCCCACCGCACACTCAGAAAGCCCCTGAATGGGAAGGGAATTGCCCAAGGTACGAACACATAATAAAGGTGAAAAAGGGAAAGAAGATTTTAAAGATGTGTTTTTGGGAAATACAGTTTACATTTTTGATGGAGATTTCAGTGGGGAAAGATCTTCAAATGTTCTTAATGAAATGGCAAGTCATATTTTCAGAAATTATTCTTCTTTGTGATCACTTGAAAAGATAAGTTCATTCAAATGCATTAACCTATGCTCTGAAATGAGCTGCTCTGCTGTACTGGATGAGGTTATTAAAAACCATTGTTCTTGGTCAGATGTGGATGGATGCTATGGCTAATCTGCTAGAGTCCAGCCTCCCTTTACAGTCAGGCAAGTAAGGGTGATGAGCTCTGAGAACATCCTGCTTTCTCAATGTTCAGCTACTCTAACACAGACGGTAGCTGTGAACCAGTTGAGTAGCAGGAAGCACTTGCATATCTTCCAGGTGTTTAGGTCAAACATAAAAATTTTACTCTGCTTTTACTGCTATATCAGAAAGATCTCGGGTAGATCTTTCAGTCAACATATGAATTTTCTCTTCAGGGTTTTGTTCAAAGCCATTTGACATTCTTTCACAAAAATACCTGTTAAAATAACTGCTAACTTTTAGACAGTATTCAAGGCACATGCACTCTTGAGTTCCAGTCACTTGGGTGTCTGTAGCCTGGTGTATGTAAACACAGGTGTATGTTAAAAATAAACACATTAAATTTCTTATTCTGCAGGGGAAAGACTACCGAAACCAGACAGAGGGAAGATGCGCTTCCATAAAATTGCTAATGTCAACAAAGCTCTGGATTATATCGCCAGCAAAGGAGTGAAACTTGTGTCAATTGGTGCAGAAGGTATGTGACAGAGCTTGACAATGCATCTCACATAGATCCTATGCATTCACATTGGCCAAATTGCGTGGGCTGTTCTCTATATATGGGTGTCTCAGAAATCCCATAATATTGATTGATGACCTATATCTGTGAATTGACAGAGGTGGAAACTTGTGGGCACCTGGAGAGGGACAGGGATATAAATGAGCTTTAGAATTAGTTTATATCCAAGGTTAAATTGAGTTGACTGTGTTTCAGTAGGTGTTCAGATAATGATTTCTTCTTTCAGAGCATTACATTTTTCCTATACATTATTAAAAATAAAGAACTTCAGAAATCAGGTTGGATTCAAGGTTGTGCTTTATCCAATTTTATTTTTAAGAGATATTATTCAGACAAGACAAAGGCTGACATCCCTACCAGGTGGGTGGGACCTACTCCCATTTTATTATGAGACTGACTGTGGATGGCAGCTGTGTTTCTAAAATTCAGATGCAGATTTAAGAGAGTGATCAAAAGAACTTATGGTAGCTGAGGAGAGACTGAACATACAAAGAGAGTGAGGCGGGATGTTATTCACTAAAGTTATTATTTAGTTATTGTTCTGTTGTTCAGGTAGTGAAATAAAAACATGCAGTTGGCTAGCTAAATGCTGTTAGATGTAAACTCTCAGCAAAAGAAGGCAGGCTCTCCTGCAAGTGAACCTGTGCCTCCTATGAGATTCAATTAATTGTTTAAAAAGGACAAAAATCATTCTTGAATTAGCTGTTCCATGGAGATATGTGTATAATATTTCCATAGTTATTACCATACAAAGGAGTGATGTGGCTAGCATATCAGTGATCTGGACAAGGGGATTGAGTGCACCCTTAGTAAGTTTGCAGACAACACCAAGTTGGGCAGAAGTGTTGATCTGCTGGAGGGTAGGAAGGCTCTGCAGAGGGATCTGGACAGGCTGGATCGATGAGCCAAGGCCAACTGTATAAGTTTCAACAAGGCCAAGTGCTGAGTCCTACACTTGGGTCACAACCAGCTCCATGCAGCACTACAGGCCTGGGGAACAGGGATTCGAAAGCTGCCTGGCGGAAAAGGACCTGGGGGTGTTGGTTGACAGCCGGCTGAATATGAGCCAGCAGTGTGCACAGGTGGCCATGAAGGCCAATGGCATCCTGGCCTGTATCAGAAATAGTGTGGCCAGAAGGAGTAGGGAAGTGATTGTGCCCCTGTACTCAGCACTGGTGAGGCTGCACTTCAAATACTGTGTTCAGTTTTGGGTCCCTGACTACAAGAAAGACATTGAGGTGCTGGAGCATGTCCAGAGAAGGGCAACGAAGCTGGTGAGGGGTCTGGAGCACGATTCTTATGAGGAGCAGCTGAGGGAACTGGAGTTGTTTAGCCTAGAGAAAAGAAGACTGAGGGGAGACCTTATGGCTCTCTACAGCTACTTTAAAGGAGGTTATAGAGAGGTGGGTGTCCAACTCTTCTCCCAAGTAACAAGTGATAGGACAAGAGGAAATGACCTCAAGTTGTGCCAGGGGAGGTTTAAATTGAATATGAGGAAAAATTTCTTCCCTGAAAGGGTTGTCAAGCACTGGAACAGGCTGCCCAGGGAAGTGGTAGAGTCCCCATTCCTGGAGGCACTGAAAGGGCATGTGGATGTGGTGCTTAGGGACATGGTTTAGTGCACACTTTGCAGTGCTAGGTTAATGGCTGGACTCGAAGATCTTAATGGTCTTTTCCAACCTTAATGATTCTATGATTCTATATCCAACTCTTTTGATTCCATAGCCTCAGTGATGTGCTGTCCATTCTAGGGGCAGCCTCTAACATGTCCTTAGAGCAAAATTCTGGCTGTAACTTCAGTATCATGGTGAGAAGCGCTAGCTATATTCTATTCACATTGCTAGGTCTTTTTAGATTAATTTATGAGCCTTCTCTTCCTGTTTTCTGATTTCTCCAAGCTTATATATGGCCTTATTTTGGCTTCCAAACCTTGATTGCTGTAATTGTGGCTGGAGCAGGAAGATCATTAGGTGGGATAGGGGCATCTGTAGAAGTAATAGAGAGATCTATCAGTATTCACTGGTTCCATAATGGTTTGACCTAGCCTGCTTGGTTCCTCAATTGTTCACCAAGTATGTTCAGTCTCTAGATCTAGAACTCCCAAATCCCAATAAATGGGTGTTCTCTGGGCAGAGCATTTGTCTGAACTCACCCTTTATTCATTTGAGACTGAACGGGGTGGGCCATCTGAGTCCAAATCCATACTGTCTATCTTTAGGCACATAACAGAGACCTGGTTTTGGGATTTTATCATCAAAGGGAGAAATGGGCAATTCCCTAAGGCACTTCAGATCTCAGAAGAGCTCTTCTGTATTTCAGAGGCACCTGGCTCCCTCCATCAGGTGTACAGGCAGTCAGGGGCAGCTGGGCCCTTTGCTCAATTAAATGAAGTGGAATGGAAAAATATGCCAGTACCCTAAACCTCTGCAGTTAAGGTTATTTGGAGAGCGACATGGCATTGAACGGACAGCAGAGGGTACTGAAGAGACAATTTATGTGTGGAAATGAAAATTTAGAATACAGAAGCCTGTTTGATAGTTAGTACAGAAATATTGAGTGTTCAGAGTGTGGAGCAAGTGAATGGTAGTTTCTGTCACGTTGTGCTGGGACTCTGAGGCTTCCTGACCCAAAACAAGAGTGTAGCAAAAGGAGTATCTTGTGGGATGGAGTGGTTTTTTTCTCTGATCACAATTTGCACAGTGTGCTAATGTTTTTGCACCTAGGTTCTTCAAGCAAGGCTGGAGTATTTAAACTGAGATACAGCAGCTCATATCCGCTCCTGAAAGGAGTGGGCCAGTCCTCTCCACTCCTGTCTCCCTCATTTTGCCCTGCTTATTGCTGCTTATTACTGCCAGGGTGCTCAGACTAGGGAGCAGCACTTGAGCACTTTCTGTATCACCTGAAGGCAAAGCATCTGGGACAGCTCAGATCAGCCATTAAAATCATTTAGACTAACCCTGCTGTTCTTGGCAGCAACTGGCGTGAGTTTAGCTGCCCTGTGATAATAGGTAATTCCCTCTGGGAGGGAGGGAGGCAGGCACAAGAGCCAGTAACCTCTTCCAGCTTCTCAGCCAGTTGCTGCAAGGTGATGTCTGTCCATGCACTCAATATTTCTTCCTGCATGTAACAGCATGCCATACTCAGTAAACCATGAGATTAAGGTGGTATTCGTGGTTGTGACTGCGGGCTTTTATTGCCTGTTTCTGGAATGCTCAATCTGTAAAATGGAGGGATTAGAAGCAAAAAAATCATTCATTAGCACTAAAAAAAATCTTTTAAATTCTTGGGTGGAAGCACTGGAGAAAAATCCACTGCTAATGCCATAGTTTAGATGCAGACAGGAACCTGTCATTGTTAAGACATTGCACTATGTCAAGTATGGCTACTAACACACATTGGATTACACCCCTGTGGGCAGGAGCAGATAGATTCGTGTGCCTTCCACTCCTACTCTAAACAGGCTGAGCACAAAGCCAGACGTGCTTAGTGCCCTGTTAAGTTTACCACAACCCCTCTACTAAATTTGTTGCCTAAGGCACAGTGCTGTGCTGATGCAGCAATGCAGTATCACATCTGACTGGGTATAGTTTCACAGTGTGGGACCTCTGGCACCAGTAGATGTTTAAAGAGTCCCCGTGCCCCCTTGTCCTGCATACTTGCTCCCACACTTCACAGCCCTACCCTATCATTTGGGCTGACAACTGTTTCTGTAGCTATGCTGGAGACTGGATCAGCAATCTGATCTGGTTTTAAAACACACTTCACCTCTTTATTTTTTTTTTTTTAAATGTTGTGTTTTTCAGCATTGTTGACTGGGCAGTCATTCTGGTAAGAAGATGGAATGAATGCCAGCAAGGAGGCAGAGCACAGGCTCCTTAAGCTTATATTGTTACCAGAGTTTTTAACCTCTTAACTCACTGCCCTTTTGTGTGAGCATGGGGCATATGGGCTTGTCTGCACCCATCTGTTTTGGCATTCTCTGAGTTACATGGATGCTTGGAATACTTCTTAATTTCCAAAGCATGATAGTTTTGTATCTAAATCTGCTGAGGATTATGTTTTATTATCTGAAATGCTGAGTGGTGAGGAGCATGTAGGCCCAAGGGGACCAACTGGCATTTAAAATGGGGCCTCAAAGCAAAGGTTAAACTCTGGTTCCTGTGGGACATCAGTAAAAAGTTCAAATTAGTATTTTTAAGCGACCAGTAGTAATCTTTAAAGCCATCATTACCGTTCTGAGGCTGACTTCCTTGGGCTCTCTGTGGACTGTAAAGAGATCACCTTTAACTGTGATACTGAGCAAAAACCCAGTTTAGCTACTCTGATCTGTCTTGTGGAAGAGTCTTTTTCTTTGTTGGTGATGAAATGAGACTAAAGAGTCAAAAAGCTAAAGTAAAAGCCGTGAAGATAGTCCTTATGAGCCATTCACAGCCCAGGAGTTAGAAATTTTCCCATAAGTTTTAAAAAAGTGCAATAACAACAGTTGGCAGGTAATTGTATCCTGAATGAAATGAACTGAGATATGGAGAACCACAAAAGATAAATATCCTGTTAGTAGGAAACAATTCTGTATTGCTTTTCTGGGGGGCAGGAGAAATGTTAAAGACCAAATGAGCTGTGACACTGCTACAAGAAGGTTAGAAATAAAAAAAAATTAATTAAATCCAAAGCAGAATAAAAACCGAAACCTTTGAGAACTTGCCACACTGCTTTGCTTAGCTTTTCCCTAGGCAGTTTTTATTGTTTCCACTTCCCTTTCCCTTCTCTCCTTTCCTGTCCTCATAGGTCAGCAAGACCTTTTTCCTCAGAAACCTGTAGCTTTGCATGTGTGAGGTGTAGGAACTGTATTCCTCCCAGAGCAAACAGGCACTGTGAAGAAAATAATGAAGTCTTCTGTTGACTTGTAGTGGAAATTTATAGGAATGAATCAGTAATTTTTGTCACTGATACTTCTCAATATTTAGCAACTTTGTTTTCCTTCTGTTTAGATATTTTTCCTTGTCTTTTATACATGTCTTTTTTGTGTTTTATGCTAGCAGCAGATAATGAGAAACCAAAGCTGGCAAATTGCTTGAATATTCTCCTGAGACACAACATGGAAAATTCCCTCTCTTGCTCTTTCATTCTGTCTGTGTGTACATACAGATATGTAAATCAAAACAATGATGTAGTGATTATGCAAATCCATTAATTGATTGCCTGACAAGCAGCAATGCCTCCTGAGTATTTTAATTCATTTATTTTACATTTGAAGAAATTCTTCTTTACTGCATACACATATCAGACATCTAATCAGAATACAATTAAATATTTGACTGAGGTGGAGATGAGGAGAGAGAAGTAGCTATGTGCCCTAATTGCCATTTGGTCTTTTTTGGCTGAAAGATGTTAGTTTTGAGATTTGAAGAGACTTGATGTCTTTCAGGGCCAATAAGATAGTAATAATGCATGGAAGGCAGGCAAAGTGAGGTAAGAATTCTGGAAAATTAGTGTAGAATCCAGAGAGGAAAGTGGAAAAATAGCCATTCATATATAAACTTGGATTATCACACTAGCAAAGTAAGTGTAGACTAGTGATATGTGACATATCTCCTACCATGTTTGTTAATTCCCTGGGTTCAAATGACAGCTTGTGTCACATACTACTGCAATTTAACATGTATCTCAAGCCTTGGAGCTGGCAGCTGCTTTGTTCTGTAAAAGCTGCCCTTGGATTCAGGCAACTTTTAAGTAGCAGAGTAACTGCATTTTCTGCTGGCTCCTCTATTGGCATTTGACGTTAAATTGAGGAAATTCCTCCTGCTGTAAGTTCTTCTTGCTCCATCTGCAGAGCACCAGTGGGCCCCCAGGCAGCCACAGCTGCTCTGGTTTTTGGGGAAGGCTGGAGATGACTTCCAAGTAGGGGAGCAGCTGGTGCCTTCCCTACTCCACTGTTCTTTTGTTGTGAGGTGACTGGAAAGGCAGCCTGCAGCTCCTCTCTCATTGCCCCATCTCCTTCCATTCCAGTGCTGGACCCTCCTCTTAGTCTCCCTGTTATTTTCTGTTTCTCACAGTGCTTTTCAGATTGATTTAACATTATCACCACACTTAAGTAGTCTGACAGTACATATTTTGGTGTTGGGAAATCTAAGTGGTATCAGTGTTCATATTACAGTGTAGGAGCACTGGATTCTGACTTGGCTTGTAGAAGGGACTCCCATGTTAATTTGTATGTGTGAGAAGGGTTTGAGAAGGCACCTTCCTAGTGCCCCGTGTTGTAGGTAGACTTAAGCAGTCTTGAAACAAATTGAAACTTCAGAGGTAAAAAATCCCATTTTATATTAAAGATACATAAATGTGCATAGGCATCAGAGCTATAAGACCTTGTGGCCGTGTTTCTGAACTGCTTGGCAGGAAGCTATGTAGCTTAGCCTCAGGAGGTGCTGTGTCTCTTGAGTTGTTCTTCACATCTAATCTGTGCTGGCACAATAGGTAAAATTCTCAAAAAGGTCTAAATAGTATAGGGGAATTTCTGAGTGCCATTTTATTAAAAAATAATACTGTTAACGTCTGGTAGTTTCTTAAACTTTGGGGTAAGACCATATTTTTTCAAATACATAGTTTCAATACAAAGTTCCTTTGTATTTGAAAACAGTAAGGCCGACATTGTTCAAACTTTAAATAAGTATTTCCCCTCAGGCTCTCTCTACAAAAGTCAGCCTTCGAGGTAAAGACTTGAGACATTTACAACTACCTGGAGAGAAGCCTTTTAGCATGGAAGGGCTCAGGTGACCTTACCCTCAGTAATCTTCAGTCTTACTGACAGGGTAGCACAAGCATGAATTTGTTGAAAAATTAACCCAGATGAACTCTGTGTAGGTAAAAAATTATGGTAGAAATATAATTAATTTATTAGATACAATATATTATTTATAGAAATATATTATTAAAATAAGAGAAAATGGAAGACATACTAAATACTACTACTATCTCTTTCACCTTAGAAATTGTTGACGGCAACGTGAAAATGACGCTGGGTATGATCTGGACTATCATCCTTCGCTTTGCTATTCAGGATATTTCAGTGGAAGGTAATAGTAATGCAACCATGTTAAATAATTAGAAAATTTGTTTAAAGACATTTTTGTACTGTTTAAAGACAATATGTGCACAAGTGAAATAAGTGTTTTAAAAAGGAATTATTTTTTCAGAGAAAATTATACAGCAAGTTCCATACCTGGTGATAAAATGAATTCCTGGAGGCAAAAAGTAATTACTCTCCTTATCCTGACACACCTAGAGCCAGCTTTCTAAATGCAGAAGTTCTGGGCATGTCTCTCAGTTATTGAGATAGAAACATGCTTGTATTTCTGAGCTCTGGTGGCCTGAAACTCTGCTGTACCCTTTATGGTGGTCCTATTTCCAACATACTTTTTAGTCCTGTCCATTTATCACATTCTTTGCAAATATTATCTGATTATATCCCTCTTCTTTCTATCACTTTTTTTCCTCCACTGCTTCAGATTTTTTTTTTCTTAACTTTCACATGGTAGCTGGCTCTAAAAAGTATGCTGTAGTTACAATACTCTTAAATTTTCAACAAAAGTAGAGTCAATTCAAACTCTGCATGCTGTCCTGCCCATAATTTGTGGGACATTAAATGTGGACCTAATGGTCTATTTGATCTTTTCTGTCCTTTACTTATGCATTCAGATGCACATAGAGTTCAGATAAGGAAGGTATTTATTTGGCACTTACACCTCCCTGTAAGCCTATGCACTGAGACTACAATCGTATTTCATGTAGGCACCAACACAGTCTTTTATGTCTAGTTCTATTTTATTTGTATTGCATATTCTTCTCCAAATATACATTCTGCTGTCCAACCAATATAATTTCTTAAACTTCTAATATGCCAGAATTATTGTGCAGGCTGAGACTCTAGTCTGAGTTGTTTAAATTGAGCTAATCTCTGTGTCCTAATGGAGCTCCATTAGTCCATTTGTATGAGTATCTTTTAGGATTAAATGTTGGCTTAAGACAACCAGTTTCAGGTGGCTGACCACATTTAAGATGAATAGAAATTAATTACTTGAGCACTTTTTATGTTTTTCTCCTTGGTGTCTTTTACAGAGACCTCTGCCAAAGAAGGGCTGCTGCTGTGGTGTCAAAGAAAAACTGCTCCTTACAGAAATGTGAACATTCAGAACTTCCATCTTAGGTAACTTCTGTTATTTCAAGGGGTAGAAGCAGTCCAAAATATTTTAGGTCAAATATTTTCCCACAGTTGTGTAGGTATATATTTGACAGGAAGATTTCTTCATGGTTAACTAGACTTTTTTCAAATACTCATGCTCTATCTTCATAGTCTTTTTTTTTTGGTTAGCCTTTGGCATTGTTTACCATGGCTTCTCTGATTGCTATTTAAAAGAAAAAAAATACCTACTGCATACAGAATGGCCATATTACATTATTAGAGGTCCTTGGTATATGGGAATATCTGAGTGCTGCAGCATAGTGACTTGGCAAATGACTGCTTTCAAATGAGAGCCACTGTAGGTGTAGACTGGTTTTGGCAAAAATACCAATGTGTTGAGCGTGCAAATATCTCATTATGATGAATCAGTCTTTATTATTTTGTAAAATAACTATAAATATAAACTATAACTATAAATAAGGAGCCCAAAATGCACTCAGTACACAACAGCAGCACTTAAACACATTTGTTATCAGAATCAGAATCATTACCAAGGTTGGAAAATTTAGTGATGCTCCAGCCTTGTGGTTCTGTGTTTCCATTAAGGGCTAGAAAGGGAGTTCCAGGCCATATGCAGGCTGCTTGCTTTTGGGATTTCACTGGACTAGTTCTTGGAGCTTTGCCAGTGACCCACCTCATTAAACGACAAGACTTGCCATTTGCACTGTTTAACCATGTGATTTGCCTTCCCTGACACCCTTATAGTACTTAGAACAAGAACTCTATATTACAGGGTTTTGGTGTTTTGAATTGGTCCTTAATGTGCAGCACCTAAAGTACATGTAATGCTAGAGAAGATACGGTTCACACATGCATTCACAGATAAATATGTGTGTTTGATTTACAGTCCCTGTATTGCCTTTAAGAGATCTGAAATATTACGTATTATTTGCCTTGAATATATAGAGGTATATTTCAGTAGAGCTTTATATGGAAGCAGGGTATACTGTAAGTTACAGAATCAGAATCTTAGTGTGTACTTATGCTGGTCTGATACATGGTATGAGGAAAACATCTTGGATGGAAGTACCCTGATTAATATTTGGGTTGATTGGTTCTTACAGAACTACTTTATAATGGGATGTCCAGACCATATGAGTCTATAACTTTTGGAAAAAAGCTTTTTGTTAGTTTGGTGCTCATTCTGATTCAGTTTTACCTTCTGGATGATTTTATATTATACAGTGTATGCCTATTCTGCTTAATTGTATTACATTTTTATTGAAGATGGTTCTGTTATTTGAAGGATATACCCAGACATCTCAGTGACTGGGCTTCTAACAGCCTTATGTTAACATGTTTACTATCACACAGTTATTGCACAGGATAAGATCTCAAACCCACAGTCCCAGCGATTGCATAAAGAGTTCACATAAAGTATATTTCAGAATAACTGCTTCTGGCTGAAAGGAAGCCAGAAGCCTCTCATAATCTTTCCAAATAGGTGCTATTTGTAGCTCCATTCATTGCGTATTCTTGCCTTGAAAGGTAGTGGGCCTAAAGTCACACTGAAGTGTAAGAGCTCAGATGAAAGTTGTCATATGTGTGAAGTGTTTTAAATAAACTAAACTGATTTATGACTTCTTAACTTCTGTAAGCACAACATGGTTGTGCCATTAAAATTGACTAAAATAACTGACACAGAAAAAGCCAGTTGCTTCAGCAAACTTAAGTAATTGCAGGTTTGCTCTCCTTTTACTTTTTTGCAAGCATGCTGTAAGTGGAATGGGAGATTATGCACTTTGATTGATAAATGTGTACTCTGAGCTATCCTGGAACACTGCACAAATTAAGCAATTGAAATCAGGGATTGTTGCACGTAATGTACTCTGCATAGAAAGCATTATGGAGTCTCTGTGTATGGACTGTAGAGTAAGATATGTACTACAGGAAAAAGAGTACAGTAACAGAAAAGCTGAGAGGGATGAGACTTGACAGAACATAAGGGTCAGGATTTGACAGGAGAGCTCCTGCTTGATTTTAAGCCTTGAGCAAGGATCAAACTGTAAAATGACATTACTTTATTAACTAATTTTTTTCCATTCTATTTTTTGTTGTAAAGCTGGAAAGATGGCCTTGGATTGTGTGCACTTATCCACAGACACCGACCTGATCTTATTGACTACTCCAAGCTAAATAAGGTCATCAGTCTGGGTGGTACAGCATGCTGTCCTGCAGTGATTTGGCTCACTTCTGGTTTGCTTAACATGTTTTCTAAAAGACAAGCTGAGGAGTGCATACTAATTCTGACTGACTTTCTAAGCTCCCTCCAAAAAAACCAGTGACATGGAGGAAAAGACCTCATGACTGTCCTATGCCCTTCTTTCCTTCCCATTATGATGAATTTAGCATTTAATTGCAAATAATCTGGTCCTCAGCTGCCAGGCAGTTGATGAAGTCTTTTACACTGCCCAATATGGATGTTAAATCACATACATTGGAATTCTTCATTCACCACTGGTAGTATTGTACTGTTTTGTCTCTGGTGTAAATGACTGTAGATTGCAGAACGGTAAACAATGAGATGATGATTAATCCTAAAATTCCTTAGAACAAACCTTGGTACCCTTGGTAATCAGTAGTACGCAATAAGTTACTAGTCTTACATAGAAAAGACTTCACCAATTCTTAGATTATACATCTACCTATACTGGAAACAAAAATGATATCCTAACTTCCTTAGGTAGTACCTCACAGGGATTACAGAACTATTTTATTACAGTGTGCTACTCCTGGCAAAATGCATGTTTTCTAAAAGATACCAGCCACTTTGGTTTGAGAGGGAGGAATGAGGAGCAAGTAATAATGTCAGAATTTCTGGATATCATTACTGAAGAATAAAACCTAGAAAGAAAGTGGAATGTTGTCGTTTCTCGTCAGCTCTCAGTACATATGTACTGTTTTCTGCTCTCTGGAATGGGTGAATCTTGAGGTCTCATTTAAACACCAGTAAAACAGAAAACTTAATCGTGCTTTTAGTTGTTGAGTACAACTTCTCATTGATGAGAGAGACTGGTAAATCATAAACTATATTTTCCATTCCATGCCCTTCCATTACAAATTGATTTTACTAGTGGAATCAAATGTTATCAGAAAGCCTTTGATGAGGGAAAAAATAAATGAATAAAATAAAATTATTTGAAAACTTAGTCTGCTTTATATATATATCTCTATATATTTTTTTAAAAAAAATATATATATTTATATA